CGTCCGAAGCGGAACCCACCGAGAGGAGCTCGCTCGGGGTCCGGCATTAGAACCGGACAGCTGGCGCCCGAACAGGGACCTCCGTCCCCGCCGAGCGAGGTAAGCCCCCTTAGCTAAGAGGGGAAGAGTCAGACGCCCTAGGTTTACGGGGCACCTAGAAGTAGACATGGAAAACAGAGTAGTGAAACAGTTTAAGCCGGAGGATACGGGAGTATTAGCATGTCAGATCTTTACGTTGTGTAAGAGTTCAGGCATAAAAATACGTATAAAGGAGTGCAGGGCGTGGGTGGAAAAGATCCTGAAAGTCTCCCCTTGGATCGCCCATACAGGGGTAGGTCTAAAGGAATGGCAAGTAGTGGGCACCCAAATGTCCTCTTTTCACCACGTGGATCCCGAGTACTTGATACCCCGGGATTTCACTTTGTACGCCACAGTGGCAGCTGCTCTGAAGCCCGAACCGCCTCCGTGCCTAGTGCCACAAGAAGTACAGACGGGGGCCTCACTATGCGGGGAGGGGGAATGGCCACCCCCCCCGGGCCCGGAGGGCCTAGAAGGGTTGGAGGAGGGACCCCCTATTTATCCATGGCGAGAGATGCGGGCGCTGCAGATCATAGACAAGCCCCACGCGCCGGCCGCGGCTGCGCTCAAAAACGAAAGTAACACCGAAGAGCCGCTGGCTGTAGAAAAATCGTGCCGCGGGGCCCGCAGCTGCTGTGGCTGTCAGGCTAAGACACCACCAGTACCGGGGGCCCCCTCAGGCCCTCATCGATCTCGGCTCCATCAGGCCATTCATACCGCTTTGGAGCGAGGTGAGGCAGTAGATGAGGAGGACTTAGATCTGTTAACACAAGCTCCCTCCGCCTTCCCCGTGTTTGTACAAGTGGAGAATGGTCAGACAGTCCGAGTACGTCGACCTCTGCCTTACAAATTTATAAAGGACCTTAGGGAGGCTGTAAAGTCTCATGGCGCGGGCTCAGCCTATGTCAAACGACTACTCGCCTCCTCAGTAACAGTAGCAGCGTGGCTCCCAGGTGACTGGGAGGAGACCATGCAGGCTATACTAGATCCGGCTCTTTTCACAGCCTGGGCTGCCTACTGGCGCCGTGAGGCCAAACTTGAGGCAGAACGGCTAGCCCCAGATAACATTGATGAAACCATTAATCAACTGACAGGGTTTGGGGAGTACACAGCTATAGACGCACAATTGCGGTTGCCAGAGGAGGTGATAGCGGGAGTACAACGCTGTGGCCTCGGCGCCCTCGGAAAACTGGCCAAGGGTACCGCTCTCCCCCTCCAACAACTAAAACAGAGGGCCCAGGAAACCGCCTTACAATTTATAAGCAGGGTGCAGACCACGGCAGAGGGGAAGTTTGGCGGTGGGCCCGCCACCCAACAATTGATCATCCAGCTAGTTAAGGGAGGGCTCACCCACTCTAAGGGCATCCTGGCGACCCTACCAGCTGACCCCTCACTGGAAGAAATAATTGACAAGGCTCTGGATGAGGGCCCCCCTCAAGACTCATTACAAACGTCAATTCAGACTTTAACAGAGGTGATGTTAGCCAGGGAGAAAGGGGGAAAAGGAGAGCGGCAGGGAAAATGCTACAGCTGTGGAAAGTCCGGGCACTTTCAATCTGAGTGCCGTAGCAAAGACAAACGTTGTATAAAGTGCTTTGTTTGCGGACGCCCGGGACACATAGCGAAGCACTGTAGGATTAAGGGACTAGTCAAGGGGACCAGGCAAGGGCCGGGAAACGGCGACTGGAGCCGGAAAACCGAGGGACCGGCTCCGAGAACCACTTCTTAAATCCCTCGGCGGTTCTGACTTTGAGAGAAGGGAAGGAGTTGGAACCATGGACCACTACATCAGCTGAAGTACCCCCTAGAGATTGGCCACGTCTAATCATAGGCACCGCCCAAGCGCCACAAATTATTGTACATACTCAGGTGCTGAGCCCCCGTCAGACCACTATAACCCTTACCAACCCCCATGCATTCCCGATTCCCCTAAAAGAAGGAGAGCCCATTGCCACCGCCATCTCACTCCCCTGGCTTGATAAGAATTGGCAGGAACCGCAATACCGAAACACTTTTGTAGCTTGGACCCAAGCGAAAACTACAGGCAGACCCACCATAGTGGTGGAGGTGGAAGGAAAGAGAATAAGAGGGCTCGTAGATACCGGGGCGGACGTCTCAGTCGTAGCGATGGAAGATTGGGACAGGAATTGGGAACTTTCAGAGGAGGAACTTAACCTCACAGGGGTTTCGGGGGGAACCCGAGCCAAAAAGTCCCGTAGATTCCTGAAATGGAGTCACGAGGGACAGTCAGGGAGATTCCGCCCCCTGTGCCTCCCCATCCCCACGTCATTATGGGGAAGAGATGTGTTGTCCGCCATGGGCGTCACCATTACCACCGACGCTCCGGAAAACCCGAGGGCCGCTGGTGGGCCGACACCCATCGCCCTAACATGGCGCACTACTGAACCCGTTTGGGTGGATCAGTGGCCCCTTACCAAGAACAAATTACAGGCCTTAGAAGAAATAGTAAGTGATCTACTTAAAGCCCAACACATTGAGCCCTCCACTAGCTCTTGGAACTCACCAATCTTTGTCATTCAAAAGAAGTCAGGGAAATGGAGAATGCTCATGGATCTGAGGAGGGTAAATGCAGTCTTAGAGCCCATGGGGGCCACCCAACCCGGACTACCAACCCCAGCCGCAGTGCCTAAGGGGTGGCCCTTAGTAGTCATTGATATTAAAGACTGCTTCTATAGCATCCCCTTGCACCCCAATGATTGTGAGCATTTCGCCTTTAGTGTTCCTTCCATAAATTATCAGGAACCCCACAAGAGATATCAATTCAAAGTCCTTCCACAAGGAATGGCCAACAGTCCCACCCTATGCCAGATATTCGTAGCGCGCATACTGGCACCAGTCCGGAAGAGACACAAAGGGGCTTTGATCATCCACTACATGGATGATATCCTAGTGGCCGCACCTACCAAACCCGAGGTGTCAGAGTTGCTGGGCCAACTTACTGCTGCCCTGGCCGAACAAGGTTTGAAGGTTGCTCCGGAGAAGGTACAAACTGGGCCCCCATATCACTATTTAGGGTACGAGGTCTGGGAGGACAGGGTGAGCAAGCTCCCAAACATTGACACCTCCCAGGTACGTACCCTTAATGACTTTCAAAGGCTAATTGGCGCCATTCAATGGCTCAGGAACACTGCCCCCATTACCAATAACCTCATGAGACCGTTATATAATATCCTCAAAGGGGCCTCCCAGCTCACCTCCCCACGCACGTGGTCCCCCGAAGCCCTAGAGGCCATGCGCCACATTCAAGAGATAGTGAAGGAAGCCACTGTCAGGAGGGTAGATGTCACACTGCCCTTGTATGTCACCTTGGTACACCACCATACCTTGGGGCGGGCTGCCGTTATATTCCAGGTCACGGGACCACTTCAGTGGGTCCATGCGGACCGCCCAAAAGGGAGCCTACCCAGTCGCCTTGAGGCGGATGGCCTCCTCTTACTCAAAGCCTCCTCCCTGGCACGGGTGCTTAATGGCCAAGAACCACAACTGCTCCTCACCCAGCCCCTGCCTGCGCTACAACAACTCGCCCAGGACAGCGAACCTTGGGCTGTCTTACTCACCTCACTACCGGTTACGCAGGGCACCTTACCCCCATCTATGAGGGGGTGGGTCCAGCTGCCCCTCCGCTACCCTTCCAACCCGGTGATGCAAAACCCCGTTCTGGGGTGCAATGTCTTCACTGATGCAACAAAGAAGAATAAGGCTTCCATTTATATCCCCGATAAGCGCCTTCTCAAAGTTCTCCACACCCCCTACACCTCTGCACAGAAAAATGAACTCTTTGCGGTACGGGTGGCGCTCGCTCTCTGTGCCCAAGAACCCTTTAACTTGGTTACTGATAGTTATTATTGCTACTTTGCATTACAACACCTAGCTCTTGCAGATCTGTCCGTTTCCACCTCCGCAATTAGGGAGTTGTTTCAGGATATTCAGGCCTTGCTATTATGCCGTGTACACCCTCTTTATGTACTCCACGTTCGGTCTCATCAGTCCGCCAGTGGCCCCATTTTCTCTGGTAATGATATCGCGGATTCTGCCCTCCAAGCTAATCCATTATTCCTTATGCAGGTGGACCCTCAACAAGCCCATCATGTTTTCCATTTACCTGCAAAAATGCTAGTTCGCCTTTATGGCATCACCAGGGAAGAAGCACGCCGCATAGTACAGCAATGCCGCGCCTGTGTCCCCTTCCGGCCCCCCCCCAGCCAGGCTCCCAGCAACCCCCGGGGCCTCGCACCCAATCAGATTTGGCAGATGGATGTAACCCATTTCCACTCTTCCCTCATACATGTTTGTGTTGACACCTTCTCGGGATTAATAATGGCGTCCCTCCAACCTGGGGAGGCAGCCCGGCATGTGATCGCTCACTGCCTTCACTGTTTTGCCAGTCAGGGCCTCCCGCAGGTTATCAAAACCGACAATGGCCCTGCATATGCTTCCTCCGCTTTCCGATTATTTTGCCTTCGCTTTGGCATTCGGCACATTGCGGGCCTTCCTTACAACCCGACTGGGCAAGCCATCGTAGAACGGGCCAATGGGTCCCTCAAACGCACCCTTATTAAACAAAAAGGGGGAGTGCCAGGGAGGCTCACTGCCGCCCAACTGGCTCAAGCAGTGTTTACGAGGAACTTTTTAATTGAAGGAGAAGACCACATTACCCCTGCCATGAAACAATTGCTCGTGTCCTCAGAAAGTCCACCAGCGCTTCCGCTGGAGACACCAGGTGCAAAGGAATGGGTCACAGTCTGGTGGAAAGACCCTGAAGGCCGGTGGCACGGCCCAAATAGGGTCCTAATAAGGGGAAAGGGGTTTATTTGTATCCAAACAGATCGTGGTCCCCAGTGGCTACCTACGAAAAACACAAGATTGTGCACCGACGAACCGACGAAGAAGGAGACACTGTCAAAAGAGGAGGCGTCGGAAGAACCGCACGGAAAAGAAAAGGAGAATGGATAAGTTGATGTTGCTCCTGGGGCTGCTTGGCAGCCTCCAGGTAACGTCCGGGGCCCATATTCCCCTACTCCGAACCACCAACTCCACACCACCCTATGTGTATTGGACAGTCATCCCAGGGTTTCCCCATGCGGCACCAGCGACATGGGTGGGTGACCCGGTGCCCCTGAGGTTGGTGGGATCAGGCTCCCTGGTCCTGGGCGGCCATAGCAGCCTTGGCCCAGTGGTCGCCAGGGTACTTAATAAGACAGTTACCTGGGAATCAAAGCATCTCCCCATATGCCTGACCAAGGCTGTCTCCGACCCGTGGTGTGCCCAGGTACAGAACATGACCATCAGAGAGACGCCACACGGGCCCCACTCCAACCTTGGTCAGGGGGATTTCTTACATATGTGGGCCATTGCAGCTAAGAATAGATCGGCAGCCTTCCAGCGCTTGCTGCAGGCTGATGGGAGCAATTGCTCTGGGTCCAATAAGTCCAGGCCGGATGTCCCATGTAACAGGAAGGACTGGCTTAATGCCACCGGCTCACTCTTTGAGAACAGTGACCCTCCATCCTCCCCATTACCCCCTTGTCATCCCACTCCTAACATGTTTGATGTTATGCAAGTATGTTCTACAGGGCATCTGGTGTGGGGACCCGAGTTTAACACAACATCGAAAACTGAGGTGTACTTCATGGATGGATTCCCCGGACCTTACTTTCCTGCCCCCGTACCACACGTGCTGCATAACGCCACCCTGCAGACGCAACTCCACCTGTGGAAGGCCGCCGCTGCTTTCGGAGAGGTCATCCACATGACGGACAATTCCGCCCCTTTAGCGGATAATGCCACGATCAACCGAGCGTGGTTTGACCGCCTCTTTAAAGAAGGATACACATGCACCGAACACCTTCACAAGGGACACTGCAACAACTTCACAATTCATACACAAACTGTCCGAAATATGGACATGTTCCTCCTCTGTGAGAATGCCACCATAACTAACACCTCCCTTGGGCTTAACGTGACTTGCCCAAATGGGGGGAAGCTCACCAACACACTCATGTCCATCAACATAACTAATGAGACCCGGGTGTTCGTGCTCACGACACCCCCTCTGACCTTCTTGCCGGTAGGAACGGACAAGCCTTTTGCCGACTCGGATTTCTTTCGGGCTGTCCTGAACCGGGGTAAGAGGGGCTTTGAAGTGACTGCTGTGGACTTCATTGGGCTAGTGGCCAGTCTGATAGAACAAGTGGAGATTAGCACCCTCTACAAGCGAGTAGGTCTAGTCGAAGATAATCTTAGGGATTTTATGCAGCTCACAACCAAGGCCTGGATTGCCCAACAAGACATTAATAAATTGGTGACCATAGAATTGTCGGCCCTTACATCGGCCGTGCAAGCCTTAGCCACCCTCATACAGGTTAACTCCGTGCTAGAGGGCCTCCCTTGCCATCGTGTACTACCCAGGCCAATGTGCATGACGGCCGCCGTGCACAACGCATCCAGGGAGCTGGATGAGGCAATCCGGACCTTGAATGAGCATAGCAATATGTCTGACTATCTCAGACGCCTAGAAGATATAGTACTACAGATAAAGAATGAGACAGACCAATATAAGCAGCAGATACAAAAGGACCATGGCATTCTCCCCGAGTGGTTTAACCAGCTTGAATTGTCTAATTGGCTTAATTATGTACTGAGTATGGGAAGCATGGTTTTCTTTCTCTTGGTCATGTGTATATGCCTCCCCTGCTTGCTATCTTACGTGGTACGGCTTTGGCGTATGGTCTTAGAGCAAGTAAAAGCGGATATATTCCTGCGTAAACAAAAAGGGGGAGTTGTTAGGGGCGGTCGGCCCTAGACGCCTGAGCGGATAGGAACCTCCCTGGGAGTGAGAGCCCCCAATCCCAGAAAGACACGGCTCCCTACACGGGGTACGTGTAAGGATGGGATTGGGCGAGACTCTTTGCTCCATACAGGTGGCAGGTTTCGCCCTCGGGGCGGATTGGGGTGGCCACCCGGAAGACAGACCCTATATAGACCAACGCCCCAGCTTGCTCGGGGGATTCCTCTGCAATTAATAAAACATATGCCTCCCGAAGCAGTGTCTGACTGAGTCC